TTCCCTTCTCTGCAGAAAGGGAACCCATAAAAGAAAAGAGTGAGCTTAAACTTATGTAAATTCAGAATAAAATGTGTTAGCTTAATGTGTGCGCTGCAAGCAAGCCTCAGGATGCTAATGTTTATTCTAACTCCTAATTTACCATTGCTCTGTCTGCTGACAGATGCTGTCATTCTTTTTCCAACCTTTGATAAATTCAGCTTTGTCAAGGAGGCAAAAGGCAGGGGGCTGTTTGTTGGGGGGGGCCAAAGGATAATGGATAATCTCCTCCCTCTAACTGGAACTGGCAACAGAGGTGTTTGATTGGTCAGTAGGGCAACCCAGTCCAGCAATTTGCCAACGGTGCCGATTTATTTTAGCTAGTCTACCCTCCTTGTCTGCCAGCATATTTGCGTTTATTAGCAGCAGACACGGCTATAACTTCCGCATCGTTTTAACTTAATCTACTCCACATTCAAACCCCACTGGAGAAGGGAGGGAGAGAAGCAGTTTGCAAACTGCTAGTGAGTGAGCATCTAAAGCTCGCTCCACTTGAAGAGAGGCTTTGCGCGGTGTCCAACAACAGCACAAATTATGCCAATAGAAAAGTCAGAAGTTCAAATACCTACATTTGCTTTCAAGGATGTCAACTCTGTATTTGGTTACAAGCAAGCTAGGCCAAATTTCCCATTGTATTTTTTTTTTTAAGTCTCTCCAAAGCCACGACTTTATATGTCCATCCAATGAGCTGAAATTCTTTTTTGCAAGTCCACCTTATTATGTAATATCTGTGCATGTCTGGCCCAAAGATCTGTAATATGGACTATACAAAAAAAAAAAAAAAAAGAGCTTCAGGTCTATTTAGTGCTTGTCTGGCCCCACCGTTATAATTTAGTGCACTGACTGCAGCGACCCTGTCCAGCCTGAGCATTGTAGCCCAACACAATAAAACGACAACTGTAGCCCAACACAATAAAAATACAACATGTTCTCCTCGTTTGCACCAAGGTTGGAAAGACATGCAATAAAAATTCAGCACATTTTGTGCTCATTTGGCAGGTTGCACTGTAGTGATCACTTTGCAGCTAAAACAGATGAGCTCAACATGATGTTCGGATGTACCATTTCAGACTCTAAAAGGGGGGGGAGAGAAATTGAGCAATGCTTCTGTGCTTTCAACTTGGACTTTATCCTCAGCACATTAAAATATGCATTATGTTGGCCTAGAATTTTCTACTCAACATGCTAGTTAAGGGTTACTATTCTAACTCTAACTCCCTACCCGTACTTGCCAAAAAAAAAAATGGCACTACCCAAACATGAAGCTTTTCTCCTTCTCATTTAGCCTGTTGGGCTAGTATTAGTTACTTTACAATTGGAGGCTTCCCACCAAACTCTTTAAACAAGTCATAAAATTATCTTCCCAACTGCTCCTGACTGCCCTGAGCTCAAAGCTTACAGAATCAGATTACTAAGTATGCTATGCAAATGTCTAGCTACATGCTAACAACTCTAATATCCTCCAAAAAAAGTCACCCATTCCAAATGCCCATCTCTTTTAATCATTTTTTTCTTGAAGTAGGAAAAAAATGTTCCCTCCGTATATACACTACCAGAAGGGAAACCTCTAGGGCAGGGGTCCCCAACTCCCGGGCCATGGACCGTATGGCACGCGGCATGCCAGCAACCAGTCCGCACAAACAAGCAAAGCCCCATCCGCGGGATGCAGGCAGCACACAAAACCGCGCCCCTTTTGTCCGCGGAAAAACCTCTCTCCACAGAACTGGTCCCTGGTGCCCAAAAGGTTGGGGACCTCTCCTCTAGAGGTCCCCAACTGAAGTCCACAAGTCTTAAAGTTGTGAAGGTTGAGGACCCCTCAAAGCTAGCTGAGGAATTCTGGGTATTGAAGTACACAAGTCTTAAAGTTGCCAAGATTGAGGACCCCTCGAAGCTGGCTGAGGAATTCTGGGAGTTGAAGTCCACAAGTCTTAAAGTTGCCACGGTTGAAGACCCCTCAAAGCTGGCTGAGGACTTCTGGGAGTTAAAGTCCACAAGTCTTAAAGTTGCCAAGGTTGAGGACCCCTCAAAGCTGGCTGAGGAATTCTGGGAGTTAAAGTCCACAAGTCTTAAAGTTGCCAAGGTTGAAGACCCCTCAAAGCTGGCTGAGGACTTCTGGGAGTTAAAGTCCACAAGTCTTAAAGTTGCCACGGTTGAGGACCTCTCAAAGCTGGCTGAGGAACTCTGGGAATTGAAGTCCACAAGTCTTAAAGTTGCCACGGTTGAGGACCTCTCAAAGCTGGCTGAGGAATTCTGGAAATTGAAGTCTTAAAGTTGCCACGGTTGAGGACCCCTGCTCTAGGGTATATCTGATTTCCACAGACAACTTCATCAAAATACTTAATTCAGGCTGGTTGTGAACTAGTGACTCCATCCCATTCTGAGATGTAAACTTTGATTTACTACCACCCTATCTTCCACTTGTGGTCTTTCTGAATTTAGTGGTACATTTCCAGGCCAAAGCACCTACAATTTTAATTCTCTGATTATGCTTACATGGACCTGGTGATATTCGATAATATAAATCGTCTTTGACTTACAACCACAAGTGAGCCCCAAATGTCTGTTGCTCAGTGAGACATGTGATAAGTGAGTTTTGCCCCATTTTATGACCTTTCTTGCCGCAGTTGTTAAGTGAATCAATGCAGTTGTTAAGTCAGTAACACGGTTATTAAGTGAATTTTGTTTTCCCGTTGACTTTGCTTGTCAGAAGGTCGCAAAAGGGATCACGTGACCCAGGGATACTGCAACTGTCATAAATATGAGTCAGTTGCCAAATGTCTGAATTTTGATCACATGATCCCAGGGATGCTGCAACAGTCGTAAGTGTGAAAAACGGTCCTAAGTCACTTTTTTCAGTGCCGTTGTAACTCTGAATGGTCACTGAGTGAACTGTTGTAAGATGAGGACTATTTGTACAGTAAATGGAAGAATGAATATCTTATCCATCACAAGTACTGCAGGATTTCACAGCAGGGGTTTGTCTTTGGTAATGTCTTCTAACACTTCTAGTTTTCCCACAAGTCATCATGGAAATAAAGATGATTCAGTTGTCCCTCTGTATCACAAGCAACGGAACAATCCCATCGCAACTGATGCAGAAATGTGAGGGAAAAAGTAGAAATAATGCAGAACAGTTCAATTCTGAAAATGTAGAGCTTGAAAGGGACTGTTCTGATGTCACAAGAAGTATTCCAGACTTCTAAGAAGTGTTTGGAGCTTGTCCCAAAGGTGTTTTTTTCAAAAGGCAACTGGGGTCTTTCTTTATTTTTCCTTGAAGACATTTCGCTTCTCATCCAAGGAGCTTCTTCAGTTCTGACTGAATCCTACCGTTCCCCACTATTCAGTCAGAACTGAAGAAGCTTCTTGGATGAGAAGTGAAACATCTTCAAGGAAAGGCCAAAGAAGTCCAGCTACCTCTTGAAAAAGCATCTTTGGGACAATCAGGACCTGGATGACTCAGAATCTCCATAAGCTCCATCTACAAGCTCCATCCACTTTCAAAAACTACCCTCCAATAGGATGGAAACCTGTATAGTCAGTCCATTTTTGACACTTGTTTCTAGATTCCAAACATTTTGCACACTTCTAACAACAAACCATAATAATCCCAGATCACACTAACATTTCCATTCCAGAGAACATACTTTGCGAGTTCAGACCAGCATTCCATGAAAGAATAGATAGATCAGAATAAAAAAAAAATAATTTCATATTCATTTCTTCTATTTGGCCCAGAGAGTACAACTAACCCTCAACTTACAACTAGCAATTGGGATGAGAATTTCCATTCCTAAACAGTGGTTGTTAATTGAGTTAAGCTGATTTAAAATTTGATAAAACCGTATCATTTAAAAATGTAATAAAGCCTTAGTAAGGCCAAGCCTGGAATACAGCATGCATTTTTGGTCACCACATTACAAAAAAGTTGTTGAGACTTTGGAAAAAGTGCAAAGAGGAGCAACTAAGATGATTAAAGGCCTGGAGACAGAAACATATGAAGAACGGCTGCAGAATTTGGATTTGGCTAGTCTAGAGCAGGGGTAGGCAACCTTGGCTCTTTTATGACTCGTGGACTTCAACTCCCAGAATTCCTGAGCCAGCATGGCTTAGCTTGGAAACTCTCCCTTTCCCCTCAGCATGGCTGGCTCAGGAATTCTGGGAGTTGAAGTCCACGAGTCATAAAAGAGCCAAGGTTCCTCACCCCTGGTCTAGAGAAAAGAAGGACTAGTGGGGACATGATAGCAATATTCCAGGATGTGAGAGGTTGCAACAAAGAGGAGGGGGTCAACCTGTTCCCCAAAGCACCAGAGGGCAGGACAAGAAACAATGTTTGGAAACTGACCAAAGAGAGAAGCAACCTGGAATTAAGAAGAAACTTCCTAACAGTGAGAACAATTAACCAGTGAAACAGTTTTGCCTCCAGAAGTTGTGGGTGCTTCATCACTGGAGGTTTTTAGGAAAAGACTGGACAGCCACTTGTCTGAAATGGTATAGGATCTCCTGTTTGAGCAGGGGGTTGGACTAGAAGACCTTCAAAGTCCCTTCCAGCCCCATTCTGATTGATTGATTGATTTTATGCCTGTTTTGCCACAGTTGTTAAGCGAGTTACTGCAGTTGTTAACTGGATCAGTAGGTTGGTAAGCAAAGCCAGCTTTTCCCATTATCTTTGCTTGTCAGAAGCCAGCTGGGAAGGCCACAATTGGCAATCACATGACCTGAAATATTGCAACTGTCGTAAATACATGCCAGTTGCCAAATACCCAAATTTTGATCACATGACTATGGGGATACTACGACGGTTGTTAGGTGCAAGAACTGCTCGTAAGTCCATTGTTCCAGTGTCGTCATAACGTGGAATGATCGCTAAACAAATGGCTGTAAGTCGAGGACTACCTGTCCATCTGTGAAATAAGCTCCTCCCCCTCACCCCACCTTATGCCTCAATGGGATAAAGTACTTACTGTCCAACTTCATGAAGAACGGGTGCTGGACAGAGCATGAAATTAGTTTCCACTTTTTCGGGTTTTACATCTAAAAAACAAACAAACAAAAGATCAAAACACCATACGCTCTATAATCGGAGAATGCCTTCTGATCCATAAAGATGAGAGAATCCATCAGTGAACCAGCAATTTTCAGGAGCAAGCAACCAGCCTGAATATAGCTTCTGATAGCAACTTTACTGATTTCTACCATGTTATAGGAATCTTCCCAGACTGGATGGACTAATTAATCAGTGTAATGACTTGCCTCCGGAAGTTGTGGGTGCTCCAACACTGGAGGTTTTTAAGAAAAGATTGAACAACCATTTGTCTGAAACGGTATAGGACCGTGGTGGCGAACCTATGGCACGGGTGCCAGAGGCGGCACGCAGAGCCCTCTCTGTGGGCACGTGCGCCGTCGCCCCAGTCCTAGGCCTTCAGCTGGGTTTTATAAAACCTTTTCGCTTTAGGCCTCCGCCGCCCTGTGCAAAAAAAAAAAGGTTCAATCAATCAATCAATTTCAACTTCTCGCAGGGAAAAAAAAAGATCTCGCAAAGTTGGAATTATTGATTGAACTTTTTTCCCAGTCTGCCGTTACCACCACAGCCATGCCCATCCAATAGGCCACACCCACCCAATGGGCCACGCCCACCCGGCACCCGATGATACATAAGTGAGTTTTGGGTTGCAGTTTGGGCGCTCGGTCTCTAAAAGGTTTGCCATCATTGGTATAGGATTTCCTGTTTGGGCAGGGGGTTGGACTAGAAGACCTCCAAGGTCCCGTCATACTCCGTTATTTTGTTATTCTATTATTGTGGTATTCTTCCCGCAAGAACAACCAGATAAGGTTACGTAGATTTTAGGGAAGTCACCTTTTGCCTCTTGTGGCTGCGCAAGGACTCCAAGCTAAGTCCCTGCTTGACGCCTTCCTTCCTTCCAGGTAGTCCTCAACTTACAATTGTTCATTTGGTGACCATTCAAAGTTACAGCGTCACTGAAAAAAAAGTGACTTATGACCATTTTTTCACATTTACAATCACTGCAGCATCCCCGTGGTCAGGTGATCAGAATTTGGATGCTTGGCAACTGATTCATATTTATGACGGTTGCAGTGTCCCGGGGTCATGTGATCTCCTTTTGCAACCTTCTCAATTGTGGTCATAAGTCGAGGACTGCCTATATTAACACTACCTTTATTGCAGGGTTATTGTAGGGTCTCCTTCCTTACGTTTATTCTCCTGAAAACTAGGAAGGGTCCTTTCCAACATGCTTTCTCCACCCTCCACTCCTCAGATTTGGTTTATCAGGCTGCTGTCTAGTCTGCGACTTTTGTAGACAGTTAACCTTTATTGTCATTTTTTTTACTGTGGGCACACTGGCACACATTAAAAATGAGATTTAGGTGCTTGCTCTCAAAGTGTACACATATATAACACACATTTAAACATGCTATATACAACATATGCATAAACCTACATCCTTACATATATATAAAACATATAAATATTAATCACTGTACATCTTGAATACATAACAGAAGGAGGAAGCTTGAGAGTTCACATGGTTAATACTGTATGGAACGAAACTATGACTGAATCTGGATGTTCTGCTTCAGATACCATGAAGCCGCCTTCTCCCAGAAGGTAACAAGGAAAACAGGTCGTGAAGAGGGGGTGTACTGTCCCAGACAATCCTGCAGACCCTGCTCAAGCAACGCTTATATGCTTATGTCCTGGATGGAAGGGAGGGAAGTGCCAACCATCTTTTCTGCCATCCTCACCACTCTCTGCACCGCCTTCCTGTCTGAAGCAGGGATGCTTCCCCCTGTCTCCCAAGAGCAGGGATAGGCAACCGTGGCTCTTTTATGACTCGTGGACTTCAACTCCCAGAATTCCTGAGCCAGCCACGCTGAGGGGAAAGGGAGAGTTTCCAAGCTGAGCCATGCTGGCTCAGGAATTTTGGGAGTTGAAGTCCACGAGTCATAAAAGAGCCACAGTTACCTACCCCTGCCCAAGACCATCCCTGCATACCATTACAAATCGGAAGTGGTTAATAAGTCAAGTGTTGCCTTAATACATATTCCTTTTCCTTGATTCAATCTTAGGCCCCCAGAGATCGCTACGGACATGGGTAAGCATGATCATTTGTATGAAAGGGAGACAGTTATGATCTCCCTGTCTCCCTTTTCATACACACTTTTATGCCTCCAATCAGTGGTGGGACTCAAATATGTGAACAACCGGTTCTCTGTCTGGATGCCGCTTCCGGAAATCCATTCTGGGCCTGGGCAACAAAAAATTAGCTACCGGTTCTGCCAAAGTGGTGCGAACCGGCTGAATCCCACCACTGCCTCCAATATTATGATCTCCTTGTTTCCGTTTTACCCAAATTCTCACACTTCCAATGTTCTCGGCCAGCTTGAAAGACACAGCAGAGAGTTCAAGAATTTATACAGGTAGCCCTCAGCTTACGACCACAATTGAGCCCAATTTTTGGTTGCTAAGCAAGACAGTTGCTAAGTGAGTTTTGCCCCATTTTTACAACCTTGCTTGCCACAGTTGCTAAGTGAATCACTGCAGTTGTTAAGTTGGCAGGACATTTGTTAAGTGAAACTGGCCTCCCCACTGACTTTGCTCATCAGAAGGTTGCAAAAGGGGACTACATGACTCCAGGATATTGCAACCGTCATAAATATGAACCAGTTGCCAAGTGTCTGGATGCTGATCACATGACCACAGGGATGCTGCAATGGTCGTAAATGTGACAAATGGTCACAAGTCACTTTTTTCAGTGCCGTTGTAACTTCAAACAGTCACTGCCAACATCCAGCTCGAGAATCCAAATAAAACTCCAGATTCATTCCATTTCCGAAATCTTAAGGTTTATTGAATACACTGTGTGGTTAGGTCGAACCAAAACTAACTCTGAGGTTCCCACACCAGTTCACAGACTTAAACAATAGTTTTCCCAGCCAAACCCCCAACGTCTTACGTAATCCATATCAACAAGTCCACTTTGGTATGGGAACCGTGTCCCCTTCAAATCCACACCTGTTCTGGTGTCCTTGACAAGGCTTCAGGCTCCCACGGTCTGCAGCTGAATCGAAGAAGCTTCGTTTCTCCATCTACCCACTTGAAAGTAACACCTCCCACCCCCTTTATCTAAAAGCAAGTTGAAACACAGAGACAGGTCGCTGCCAAAGTTTCACACAGTCACTAAATGAACGGTTGTAAGTTAAGGACTATCTGTAATCTGATGACTCAAATGCTCTGTGCTGCAGGGATACTTACTTATGGTTGATCCATTTAGCATGTAAGTGCAGACGACACTCTCTGATGTCCTACCCAACGTGAATCCTGTTCCACTTAGAACTACTTGAAACTCCTCTGAAAAGCAGAACCAACAAGTTATCAGCAAGTAGATCCATGCTAAGTTTCCTCACTGACTTTTGAGAACAAGATAAACTCTTAATATTTTATACTCAGTGCTTGATAGTGTTTATATTTAACGCCTATGGTTTTAGAAAGAAAGCAGAACACATCAATAAATTCTTGCACAGCAGCTGGAGAAGGAGGGAGAGAGTGGGAGGTCAGTTGATATATATCCCCAGTGACAATTCTTTTCACCAAATTTCCCCGTGAATTTTGAGAGGGTGTAATTAGGATCGCAGATGTGTTTATCCAAACCATCATCTTCTTAATGTCTCTCTTTGTTTAAATTGTAAAAAAAAAGGAGAGAGATGCTATCTGCAGCCCTTTACAATCCATCCAGTAGTTGTCATTACATTATAGATTTTAATATGATGGAAAGGGTAAATTATTAACACAATAGGAGATCATTATTAAATATAAGGGAATAATCATATGGATTAATTTTAATTTAAAGCAAATTAAAGCAGGAGCTTTTTTGGGCTCGGCCCCAAAAACATAAACATAAGTAATCCTCAGCTCAAAACCACAATTGAACCCAAAATTTATTTTGCTAAGCAAGACAGTTGCTAAGTGAGTTCTGCCCCATTTTATGACTTTTCTTGCCACAATTGTTAAATGAATCACTGGAGTTGTTAAGTTAGTAAATTGTTAAGTGAATCTGGTTTCACCACTGACTTTGCTTGCCAGGTGATCACATGATCCCAGGACTCTGCAACTATCATAAATACATGCCAGTTGCCAAATGTCTAAATTTTGATCACATGACCATGGGGATACTGCAAGGGTCATAGGTGTGAAAAATGTTTTTTAGTTGTTGTTTTTCCAGCCGTTGTAACTTTGAACCTCTGTAACAGACTTTGGCCTAAAAATGTTAGTTCACCCGTGAGGTAAAATATGCTGCCTCTGAAAATATTCTCCTGCCAGGCTTCAAGTCGGCATTGCACAACTTAAAAGAAATTTTCCATAAAGACTAAATATTTACTGTAAGTCATAAACAGTATAATTTACAGCTGTAGTCTCTGACAGTTAAAGGCTGATTCCTAAACTCCTCTGAATTTAAATCAGAGTAACCTCTTCTTTACCTTGTAGTACTAAAGTGTTCTTTATTTCCTACACACCTTTAAGAGTGGCAGTTGTCTGTTTACATTCTCCATCTAGCTACTAATGAAATGCTAACATATCCAAAATTTAAATTTAGGTGTTCTGTGCATCTCCCAATTTTTTTTACTCCTCCTACTCATCCAAATGAAAGATGCCAAGAACAGGCTCAAAGGAGGAGAACATGATAGCCATTTATTTACAGGTGGTCCTCAACTTATGACCACCACGGAGCCCAACCATTTTGTTGCTAAGCAAGGCAGTTGTTAAGTGAGCTTGCCCTATTTTACTATATTTCTTGCCACAGTTGTTAAGTGAATCACTGCAATCGTTAAGTTAGTAACAAGGTTGTTAAATGAGTCTGGCGTCCCCACTGACTTTGCTTGTCAGAAGGTCGCAAAAGGGGATCACGTGATCCCGGGACACGGCAACTGTCATAAATATGAGCCAGTGACTGAATTTTAATCACATGACCATGGGGGATGTAAGTGTGAAAAAGGGTCATGATTCACTTTTTTTTAGTGTCCTTGTAACTTCTATCACTAAACAAATGCTTATAAGTCAAGGACTATCTGCGTTTTATTTATTTATCAAATTCTGAAACCGCCCAACTCCTCACAGACGGACTATAATCCTAACTCTTGCTGGACTGCAGTGGTTTTCACTTTTTTTTTTTAAATAATTTTTTATTTTTTAAACCAACAAAACAAAACAAAACAAAACATGTGGTTTTATAAGGCTGTTAGCCGCCCTGAGTCCAGTGAGGAGAAGGGCGGGGTACAAATTAAATTATTATTATTATTATTATTATTATTATTATTATTATTATTATTATTATTATTATTATTATTATTATTATAACACACATACACACACAGTGTATACTCCTCCCTTTTTTTATATAGCAATTTCGTAACGGTAATTTTCTATTATTTACATTTCCCCCCCTTATTCTTCTTTAGAATATTTGTCCTTGTTGTCCCGTTGTTTTTATTATACACACATTTTCCACTTTTGACCTTTCCACATTTATTCTCCTCTATTATTTCTAGTCTCCAACCAGTCATACCACTTGTTCCATATTAGATAGTACTCTGTGTCTTCCTTTTCTTTTATCTCTTTTGTTAATTTGTCCATCTCAGCACAGTCCAGGATTTTTCTTATCACTTCTTGCTCTGATGGTATATTCTCATTTTTCCAGAACTGTGCGTATGCTATTCTTGCTGCCGTTTTTATATGTAGAATTAAGTACCTTATTTCTTTACTATATTTTCTGTTTAAAATACCCAGCAAAAAGATCTCTGGTTTCCAGTCTATGGGTTGGTCTATTATTTCTTCGATCCATTTTCTTATTTTAGTTCAGTATTTTTTCGCAACTGGGCATGTCTACCATAAATAATAATATGTTCCATGTACTTTTTTACATTTCCACTTTCCACAGTGGTTTTCACTTTAAACATGGGATTCTGCATAGCAGCACTGGGGATTTGTCAGAATCAGGCTATTAATCCATCACAGCTATTTTACACAACTAATGCAGCAACACTTTTCACATTATCACTCTAATGACTGTAGTATCTAATGACTGTAGGCCAGGGGTCTTCAAACTCGGCCCTTTTATGACTAATGGACTTCAACTCCCAGAATTCCTCAGCCAGCGTCATAAAAGGGCTGAGTTTGAAGATCCCTGCTGTAGGCCTTTAGAGTTTAAGGATTGATATTATATTACAGTTAGGCCATGTTGTGTTTTGTTCATGTGCAACAGATTGGGTGGCAAATTATGGTTTTAATATAGATTTTATTTGTTATTTATCATTTTATTCTAGAATTTTTAACTGGATATTCCTTGAGTGTTTTTAATTTGCTCTGGTCTTTAATAAATGTAATAAACATTGATTTGACTTGACTTTAAACATGGAACAAGGAATTGGGGGAAGAAGAAGAAAATGCATGCTCTCAAGCACGAAGACTTTTATGAATTAGAACAAATTTTACAAAGAACCTGGCTCAAGAATACACAAGAGGAAATGGAACATGTCAGTTCAGTCACTCACTCCATCATCCACAGCCAGTCTAATTGAGAACTTATGAAATGGGTTCATAAATTAGAAACAGCTGTTCCAGCCCTTTCATTTCTTTCTCTGCAATAATCCTCATATTTCAAGTTTTGGTCAGGAAATATCACTAAATATCCGCAAAAGGAACGATAATAATTTCTAGCAGTGTCATGGTGAATAAAAGCTGTTTCGCTGAGGAGCCAAATTGAATTCTCTTAGTCAAAAGGGTTAGTTTTTAAGATAAAAATAAAATGTAAAAATAATAATTAAAAATAAATTAATTAAAAGGAAAACAAAAAACAAAAAAACTCAAAGGGCACACTCAATGGATTATTAGGCATTTTTCTGTTATTAGTTTTCTATGTTTCTATTTTTGAAATATTTTCAAAATGTTTAAAGGGAGGCAAACATTTTAAACGGACTCCAGTATATTTCAAAAACTAAATTTCTCCTGCAAATTAACCAGCATTCTTCTGGTAATTGAAAAGTTGGAAAAGCACATATTTTTGTATACTGTCAGTATTAATTCACCTAATGCAGGACTCTTCAAACTTGGCCCTTTAATGACTTGTGGACTTCAATTCCCAGAATTCCTCAGCCAGGCACGCTGGCTGAGGAATTCTGGGAGTTGAATTCCACAAGTCATAAAAGGGCCAAGTTTGAAGACCCCTGATCTAATGAAAGGCCCAGATTTCAGCTCCTCTCTTGTTCATCCCACTTCATACACGGCTGAGACAAGAAACTGCTCCTCATGAGCTGAAATCTCTCCACATTTCACAGAACCCACCACATTTAATGGCAGCTAATTCAATGGGAAATGCTAGCTGAGGCAGAAAGTTTACTGAATGACAACGGGAAGTCCTTACAGCTAGTCCTCGACTAATGAGGAGTCGCTTAGCGACCAGTTACAGCAAATTCCTCCAAAGGTACAGGTAGTCCTTGACTTACGACCACAATTGAGCCCAACGTTTATGTTGCTATGCGGGACAGTTAAGGGAGTTTTGCCCCATTTTATGACCTTTCTTGCCATAATTGTTAAGTGAATCACTGCAGTTGTTAAGTTAGGAATATGGTTGCTAAGTGAATCTGGTTCCCCATTGACTTTGCTTGTCAGAGAGTTACAAAAGGTGATCACATGACCCTGGGACACTGCAACCGTCATAAATACATGCCAGTTGCCAAGTGTCTGAATGCTGTAACAGTTGCAAGTATAAAAACCGGTCATAAGTCACTTTTTTCAGTGAACGGTCACTAAATGAATGGCTGTAAGTCAAGGACCACCAATCCATTTCCAAAGAACCAACGGCCGTCTCTCCAAAGTCATGTGACCGCATGTTGAGTGCTCAGCAAGTGGACTGCATTTACAGCTACTTGCAGAATCCCACGGTCACATGACCACATTATATGACATTTTTGTACAATGCTGGCATTTAATTCCTGTTTTCAGCAAAAACAGCCCACAGCAAAATGGGCTTGTTTATGACTGCAGGGTTAACACCCGTAACAAATAATGGTCATAAAAATGGGTTTGGTATATGATGACCTGCTTTACGACCATCATGACTTACGAATATGGGCAGGCACCATTATGGTCACAAGTTAAGGACTACTTGTAGATGTTGGTTCTGCCTTTGCCACCTTGGTGTGCTCCCCAGTTGTGTGGACTTCAACTCCCAGTATTCTCAGCAAAGGTCAGGCTGGCTGGAAATGCTGAGAATTGTGAAAGTATTTTCAGCGTTTCTCAACCTTAGCAACTTGAAGATGGGTGGACTTCAACTCCCAGAATTCCCCAGCCAAATATGCTATGCTGGGGAATTCTGGGAGTTGAAGTCCACCCATGTTCAAATAGCCAAGGTTGAGAAAACCATGGATGAAGATTGTGCCCCCACTGGAGAAAGATACTCTATTTCACAAAATTATTTTGGAGATGACCTAGTCCAGGGGTAGGCAACCGTGGCTCTTTTATGACTCGTGGACTTCAACTCCCAGAATTCCTGAGCCTATAATTCAGAAGATTCTAGGTGTTGAAAACCTAACAAATCTCCCACGGTTAGTGTCCCATCACATACGCAATACAATACTCAAAATATGCCTTCATTTTAAATCTACAACTTCCAAGGAGAGGAAACTGTAAGAGTTTAAATCTGTAACACAGGCTTTGGCAAACTGGAGCAAGGAAAGGAAAGATCCTTTTATTCACATCTTCCTACTCAGCATATGGAAGTACAGTTACACATTTTGCCCAAGGATGTAACAGCAGGATTGTCAATATTTTCGCATTGTTTTCCAGTCGCACACTCACCTCCTACACAAACGCTTGAGGGTTCCAGATTTAAAATTTCCGTGCATGATTGCTTCAGTATCTGTTTGGGGTAAAAATGGGAGAAATATTTTTGACAAATATATATTACGGGGTTTTCAAGGCAACAAGGATTCAGTTACGAGGAATTACTTTAGCAAGATGTTGTGAAGTGTGATACCTCTCGAGGTACAGGTTATTACAGAGTGTCTTCATTTGAAAAAGAAATTCATAGGCATCATGGATTAATATTTAACCTGCCTTCCATAGAAGACCTGTATACTGCATGGGTCAGAAGGAGGGCTGAGAAAATATCTACAGACCCTCATATCCTGGACATAAAACTGTTTCAAATCCTCATCTCAGGATGTCACTACAGGGCATTGCATGCCAAAACAACTAGATACAGGGACAGGTTTTTTTTCCTTGTGCCATTACTCTGCTGAACACCTAATTCTGAACACCTAATGTCTACATATATTTACCCATGTTGCATGGCTGTAGTATTATTATTATCCTTCTTATCATCCTTACAAACAAACCCTTCTTATTTGTATTATGCTGAAGGTGATTACTCTGTTGCTTTGTATGTACACTGAGAAACAAATTCCTTGTATGTCTAATCACACTTGGCCAAATAAAGTATTTGATTCTATTATGCCAGGGGTCTTCAAACGTGGCCCTTTTATGACTTGTGGACTTCAACTCCCAGAATTCCTCAGCCAGCGTGCCTGGCTGAGGAATTCTGGGAGTTGAAGTCCACAAGTCATAAAAGGGCCAAGTTTGAAGACCCCTGTATTATGCAGACTGCAGCTGTGTTTTGCCTTGAATGAACTCCTCTGGATCATGACTGCCGTGATTCGGAATGAAGGTGTGCCCCAATTTACCTCACGAACCTCCTCAGCACTAAATCCTCAAAGTCACTAGCACAAGGCAAGGTGGAAACGACCGCCTTCCTTTTTTCTTTTAAAATACCTTTGTTAACATAAGACTCAGCTGAGGTTCAGGGGATGGCCCCTGGGCTTCCATATCAGTAACAAGATGCAAGCTGAAGTGCAGAACTTGGGGGGAAAAAAACTGCATTGCTGATTCAGATATTGTACAGTTAGTTCTCGATTTACAACAGTTCAGTTAGTGACGGTTCAAAATTATAACAGCGTTGAAAAAAAGGTGACTTATGACCATTTTTCACACTTAACAACCACTGCAGCATCCTCACGGTCATGTGATCAAAATTCAGATGCTTGGCAACTGACTCGTATTTATGACGGTTGCAGTGTCCCGGGTCCATGTGATCACTTTTTGCGACAAGCAAAGTCAATGGAGAAGCCAGATTCGCTTAACAAAGTTGCCCCTTACTGCGCTGATTCACTTAACAATTGCAGCAAGAAAGGTCGTAAAATGGGGCAAAACTCACTTAACAAATGTCTCGTTTAAAAAGAGAATTTTTGGGGCTCAATTGTAGTCCTAAATCAAGGACTCCTAGTATGCTGGATTCTCAGAGGGCACTGAAAAAAATATAATAATTTTTGAAATATTAAAGCAATGATCCAGGGATTCTACGACCGTCGTAAATACCCTCCGGATGCCAAACATCTGAACTCTGATCATGTGACTGCAGGGACACTACGGCAGTCGTAAGTATGAGGAGCAGTCATAAGTCACTTTTTTCGGTGCCCTTGTAACTTCAAATGGCCATTAAGCAAATGGCCGTAAGTCAAGGACTACCTGGGCTAGCACTTTCCAAGGGTTGGAAATGATATTTTGTTTGATACAGTCTAAAAGTGTTATTTGCCATTTTTGTAGCCACGTCATTGCTACAGGCTGGTACTCAGTTTGTAATTAGCAACTCTGCCAGTGGTGTTACCAAATATCTTCTACTCTACATTTGGGCATTTGATAAATGAAGAACTCTGCATTTGGTTTTGATAAATTTCATCCCATTATTTGTTTGTTTATGTATTTTTTCTGGTCAGTATAATGCTGTCTTCTGGTAATTACTCCATTCTTTTCAAGCTGCTTTCAGATCATTTGTGTCTTCCCAGGGATTATTGTCAGACTGGGAATTTGGAAAAGGATCATTGGGAAATCCCAAAGGTGCTTTTTCAAGAAGCAACTGGACTTCCTTCTTTTTTCTTTGAAAACGTTTCGCTTCTCATCCAAGAAGCTTCTTCGGTTCTGGAATGCACTCTTTGCAGAGAAGAACTGAAAGAAGAAACTGAAGAAGCTTCTTGAATGAGAAGCGAAATGTCTTCAAGAGAAAACAAAGGAAGTCCAGTGGCCTCTTGAAAAAGCATCTTTGGGACAACCATGACCTGGATGACTGAGATGACGGAGAAAATTCAAAAGATTGTGATAACATTTGCACCTTTTCATAGGGCACTTGGCCAATTCTCCAAGATTGATCAACGATAATATATAAACGTTTTGGCAAAAGCATTATGAAGATCCTTTAGTACTCTACAACGCAATCCATCCGGCCCCAGAGAGATTTGAACTAACACAAGGCAGGCATTTCCAGATTCTATCTTTCTCAACATCTCAAACGTTGAACTTTTATTTTCAAGATCCCCACCATCTGGCAGGAAAATAGGAATTTCTGGGCACTGCAGTAATTCAGCTCCTCTGCTTTAAGTGACATGCCGGTGACACAAGTATCATCAATGCCGCAGTGAAGCATACCATAATAAAAAACTATCGTGATAAGCAGGAGAGGGCAAGGAATGAATTTCTAATGAAGATAAATGGTTTTCTTAATAAGGGGCAAGCCAAATTACTATACGTATCTATTATTCCCTGCTCTCCTCTTGTACATGCAAATGGACAGGTAGAGCACTACTGGTTTAATCTACATTTGAGATCACCAGGAATATATATGTGTATATATTTCTCTCTCTCTCTCTCTCTCTCTCTCTCTCTCTCTCTCTCTCTCTCTCTCTCTCTCTCTCTCTCTCTTTCTCTCTCTCTCTTTCTCTCTCTCTCTCTCTGTGTGTGTGTGTCTGTGTCTGTGTCTGTGCGTGTATAAAACTCCCTTTTTATGACCCTGTAATCCTTTAATTCGGGGTAAAGTTGGGGGGAACTGGATGGAACTGAGCATTTACTAGCCAGATGCCCTTCCTGACACCATGCGGAGTTCACAGTAGATATTTTTTCTTTGCATCCCAGGAAAAAAACATCTGCCACTACCTAGGATTGAACTCTCAACCTTCTGAGTGGGAGGTGAGAGTCTTTACTACCAGACCACCACACCGCTTATATATATGTATGTGGCAAGAAGCAACAGTAGTTTGCTCTGTCCCATATTTGGGTAGACCAGGTGCTCTGTTACACTTAATCTCTCCTCCCTGGTTCAGCTGACAAAGCGAGGAGAGCCTGTGGCCTAGAGGTTAATACAGGTGCCTAACATGCAATCGGCCCAGGTTCGAATCTCAGAAGGGTATGGCTAGCTGATGAGAGCTAAATAGCTCGAAATAGCTATACTAGTCTCCCCTTAATTCTTTGTCGGTAAAATTTAATATGTATGTGTATATATATATATTCAAGGATGCCACTAATCTGATTTCGTATTCCTGCATTGTATGTACAGGCAGTCCTCAACTTACTCTGATTCATTTAGTGACCGTTCAAAGTTACTGTCAAGCTCGAAGCGCGTGTATGACGTTGCCACCATTATTGCTTCTCAACTTGCCAACACACTAGGGAGGAGGAGAGGGGGAAATGGAATGCAAGCTCCAGACAACAAGAAGTCAGCCCGTGTGAACCAAGGACGTTTCAGCAGGTGTTTGCAAACACAGAGAGACACTTCCTCATAACAATAATTTGACACTCGATTGGATCATTTGACCTGCACTAATAGGGGAGGAAGAATTCTATACTTTAATTCTAATAGTTAGCGCGGAAAATAATCAGAGCTGGTTTTGCTTTCATCTGTGCCGAAATGATGTACTCAATAAAGTTTTGCATTATAGTTTGCGCGGAAAATAATCAGAGCTGGTTTTGCTTTCATCTGTACCGAAATGATGTAAGGTTAAGGTTAAGGTTTGGTTAAGGTTTATTGCATTTATATCCCGCCCTTCTCCTAGTGGACTCAGGGCGGCTTACAGCCAATTAAAAAACAGAACAATCTATACAAATCTACAAAATTTAAAATCAATTAAAAGATATATTCAATAGGCCTATTCATATTTTAAAATTAATTAAAAACCAATTTAAAATGTCCCTAGGCCAGTCCTGCCTGCTGAAACAACCATGTCTTGAGGGCGCGGCGGAAGGAGGGGAGATCCGGAATCAACCGGATCTCTGGGGGCAGCTCGTTCCAGAGGGTGGGGGCTCCAACAGAGAAGGCTCTCCCCCTGGGGGTCACCAACCGGCACTGTCTAGTTGGCGGCACCCTGAGGAGACCCGCTCTGTGGGAGCGTATCAGCCGGTGAAGTTTTGCATTAAGAGACTGGATTGTCTCAATGGTACTTGCTCAGTTGGGATCGTCAGCCGGAACCTTAACAGTTACACTGGTACTGAAAGAAGTGACTTATGGCCATTTTTCACACTTACGACCGTTCCAGCATCACTGTGGTCGTGTGATCAAAATTTGGACACTGGCAACTGGCATATATTTATGCCAATTGCAGTGTCCCGGGGTCATGTGATCCCCTTTTGCGACCTTTTGACAAGGAAAGTCAATGGGGAAGCCAGATTCACTTAACAACCATGTTATTAATTTAACAACTGCCGTGATCCACTTAGTAACTGTGGAAAGAAAGATCATAAAATGGGGCAAATCTGAGTTAACAAGTATCTTGCATAGCAATTGAAATTTTGGGCACAGTTGTGGACATAAATCAAGGATTACCTGTATAGAGAAAGCATTCGTTAGTCTGCATTGTCACAATCTTTGGTACATATTTTTTTTTAAAATGAGGGCTTACTTAAGTTTGGGTTCCCTGACAGACTCTCGCCTAAGTATTGTGTGAGCATCAGCCACTACCAATGAAAGGGTTTTGAATAAACACTTGAAAACAAGCTTCAATCTGACTCTGAATAGAGGGACTGCAATGTTTCCTGTCC